GAGAGAGAGAGAGAGAGAGAGAGAGAGAGAGAGAGAGAGAGAAGAATAGGGTTTGGATGGGGACAATAAAGACTGACAGGGAATTTTAGGTACAGGATTCTCAGTTTCATAGCTTAAACAGTTTAAAGAAATTAATAAACCAAAAATCTATGACAAGAATACTGTTGTAGAAAAGAATTTTGGAGACATTCAAGAAAGAACTAAAAGCAAGAGAAAAGCTTTTATTTCCTTAAGGAAATAAACTTCTGTGATGCTTATTAAATACAGAAATTTTCACCTCTTTCTTTTTTTGAAAATTTATTTGGTACAGGGTCTTGCTATGCAGCTCAGACTTGTAGTGATCCTCCTGTCTCAACCTCCCCAGCACTGGGGTTAAAGGTGTGTGCCACCATGTCTGGTTTTGGGGCCATTGCAGCTTGCAACATTGGGAATTGAACTTGGGTCCTTGCACTTTGCCAGCCAGGCACTTAGACCACCGAGCTATCTCCCCTAGCCCCTTATCTCTTATTTTTATAAACAAATTTTAAAAAATAATATTACCTTCCAGCTTGAGATTTATCCCTCCACATTCTGTAATTCCAATGAATTTGCCTTCTATTTGGGCATTCTTGTAAATAAAAATTGTTGGTAAACAGTTATCGTGGTAGTGTTGAATACAGCTGTCCACAATGGCTTTAACAAATTTAGTTGCTGGAAACTTTCTTGCTAGGAGACTAAGATGCTGGTTAACCAATAGACACATTGGGATGCTAAAAAGAAAAATAGTGCATATAATTTTGAAACAGACTACTACTCATTGGTGTAATATAATAAGTGAGATATCTCCATAATAATAATATATTTCTAGTTTTTATCTTTACCAATATAAACTGCATGTATAATCCTTTGGTTCCTACTGGAAATGCCACTATAGCCTAAAAATAAAGTAGCTATGGGAGTCTAATACTTAACTTAGGCAAACTCTATTTCTACTTACTCTCAACTTAAGTTGGTGTAGTTTCCAGCAGATGGGTCACAGAATAGAACAAAACAAACAAAATGGCATGCTTCTAAGAAATCTCTGAGTTTGTAGTTGAAATAAAGTTCATCAGTGTATTTCCACATGAGATTATTATATCCAAAGTTCCTCATTTTGTTGACTCTTGACCTTAACAAACTTTAACTGTATCATCTTCTTCTGTCTTTAACCCTTATCTTCTTAATACATTCCATTCCATACCTCCTCCAGGTCCCCATTCTCCATAATCATTTCTCATCAGAAATTTATAATTGATTATAAGTATGAGCACAACCTCCAAGGTTTCTTGCTCAATCCCTTAACTCCTTTTACACCATTTCCTAATTTGTCCCCTTTCCCCTAGTCTATATGCCCTACAGGTATTAAACTGTTTTAGGGTTATTCCTACCACCTCTACTGTATTCCACACCCTTTCCATTTCCTATGGCACTTGGTTATTCTGCTCCACTCTTCTGTTTGATTATTTTCCCACTGTAAGCACATTTAAGTTAATAAATCTTAGAGGTGTTTTAAAGACCCTTACAATCCTATCTCCCCTTATAATAACTATTCTCTTTCATTCTAGTATCAGCCCTTTTTCAAGAGGGAAGGAGGAAAAGTCTGTTTTTCTTAACTCCATTTTTGAAATGCTTTCCTCTTCTGGTTTCTGTAATAGCATTTTATATTAATTTCCTTTTAACCTGTGACTTTCTTTTGTCTTTGTCCATTTTCTTTTCTTTTTTTTTTCTTTTTGCGGAACCAGGGATTGAACTCAGGCCCTTGCACTTGCCAGGGAAGCGCATATTCCACTGGGCCATCTCTTTGGCCCCATCTTTTGTCTTTGGTCAAATGTAGATTTTCCTTATAATTATATCCTGTGCCCTATTCTCATTCCAGACACATTCACTGGACTGGACAATCTTAACCATCCTGATGTCAATAGCTGGCAAATTTCAACTCCTTCCCCATTAAAAAAAAAAAAAATCTAGCCTATATATTATTAGATTGAAAATCAGGCCAAAAATTTCCATTTCTTCCACAATGTTTGAACAGTAACCAAATCATATTGACTCCATCTCCTCATTTCATATCCATTTGTACACTTCGCTGTACTCCTTTTGTTTTTATCTGAGCTGCATCAAATTACATTAAATCTGTTTCCAGAGTCATTGTCTGTATTGATCCTTAACCTGTTTACAAAGGAAGCTCAATATGACAGTCTCATTGTGTAATTGAGATTCTCCATGCTCAAAATTCTTTAATGGCTCCTCACTGTCTTCAAGATAAAGTCTGGACTCTGCAGTAGGGCCTTCAAAGTTCTCAATGGTCTGGCCCCTGCCTACTTTTCTCATATTATTCTCTGCTTTACACCTTATTGTGCCATGTTTCTGAGTCAGATCAAATTACATAAAGCCTTCCAAAGCACCATGATATCTCATATTTCTGTGCTTTTGCTCAAGCTACATATTCTTTCTAAAGTAACCCTTTCATCCTGTTGCACTCCCTCCAACCCATAAACCTGAAAATTCATTCTTTTTTAAATCTAAAGTCAAGAATCAGTTATAAGAACTTTCCATATTTCATTCTCTAAAGGCAGAACTGACTATTTTGTCTCTAATGCCTTTAAATCTACTCTGTAGACTTCAACAATACCACCTAAAATATTTTATTGTATTTCTCTCTATATATTGTATTAAAATTTATGTAATAGAAGAAACCAATGCTTTATTTACCTTTGCATCCCAAGCATCAATGAAATACTTAGAAACTTTCCTAATTTTAGGTGCTGTTATATATCAGTTTATGGAGGAAAAAACTTTTTTGAAAAAATTAATTTATTTTTTTTAATTTAGTACAGGGTCTACAGGGTCTCACTACATAGATAGGACTTATAATGATCCTCCTGTTTTCAGTTTCCTAAGAGCTGAGATTACAGGCATGTGCCACCACGCTGAGTCTCAGTTGCCATCTTAGCATGCCCTGGGAGCAGAGCCAGCATGGCACACTGGGGATCAAACCCTAGTCACTGCATTCTGCGTAGCAGGCACTTTAGTCTGCTGAGCTATCTGGCTGGCCCTGGAGGAAAAAACTTAAAAAGACAAATTACAAGCTTATTTGTGGTATCAAAAGTTCAAAATATGAACTTGGGAATATGAATGATGTAAGTATAAGATCTGAAAATAACCGGTGAGAAAACTGGCATCAAGCTGAGCCACTGGGCTCCCTGGCTCAGAGTAAATTAGAGTGCTATAAGGGATCTTAAGCAGACTGAGCCTTCATTTGGGTTAAAAAAAAAAAAAAGGCCCATTCTATAAATTTAGGGACCTAATGAAAAACTAAACTTTTACCTTCCTATAAAATTCATAAGAGGTAACTAGAAACCCAAATTTGTTTAGCAGTATTTATGATATTAAAGTTATCAGTAAATCTAATGTGGAAAACTAGACTCTGCTGGACTGGGGCTGTATCTCAGAGGTGAATGCTTAAAGTATGTGAAAAGCCCTAGATTTGATCCCCAACACTGCAAAATAACATGAGCAATTTAGCAGCTTAGTAATCTCACTACCAAGACCAAAACCAAAACCAAAAATCTTCTGGCTTTTTAAAAAATATTTTTAACAAATGATCATTTTTATTATGTTCTATAAATTTAGATTGTGGATGTATTTTTTAAAAAATCTTTTATAAAAAAATGTATTTAGGGGGGAACTACCCCCTCGGGCCCCCCCTCCTGTCCCTCTCTCAGCCCAGGAGCTTTCTTTCTCTCAATAAATATATTCTGCTCATAACCTAAAAAAAAATTGTATTTGGTTGTTACAGAGTCTCACTATGCAGCTTGGACTCAGTGATCCTCCTGTTTTCAGCCTCCCCAGCACTGGGATTACAGGTGTGTGCAACCACAGCTGGACTCAGTGGCCCTCAGCGTGCCCGGGGGTCAGGTCTGGTGCGGCATGTGGTGCAGGGGATGGAACTGCAGTCCCTTTGCTTGCCTAAGCTTGCCTAAGCAGGTGCTTTAGTCCACTGAGTTATCTCACCAACCTTAGAAATACATATCTTATATGCCAATATGTGGCAAGTACTGTACCACTGAATTATATTCCATCCCCAACTGTATTTTCTTAGTGTCAAGAAAACTAATAATTTATGTAATGTTTTGGAATGGAACTAGAAAAACTTCTGAAGTCACAACCATTGAAAATATTATGGAACTACGTTCTTACTTTGGGGAATAGCAAAGCATATAATATTTTGAAGCACATTAAAATACACTTCAAACTCTATGAATTTTTGAAAATTACTTGTCAAAATTAGCAATTTATTTATATATAACATTTAAAGGAAAACTTTATTTACTTTAATGTGCATTCAGAAGCAGCATCCATTCTGCTACTCATAATGGGCCAGAAAAGACCTTCACTGAACCATCAATAAATGTTGTATTTAACATTTACAACAAATAGATCTCAGTCCCATAGATGTTGGTGTTTCTCATCCTTATTTGTGAGAACTACCTGCAGCATTTACAAATTGGTTTACCCAATAAATGGAACAGGTAAAATGGGAAGGCGATTCCTTTTAAGACTTTAATACTCTTTAAAAATTAATCTAACAATAGTTTTAGTTAATAAAAGTAATGTTCATTTCTATGGCTCATGCCCTATGGTAATTTGGCTGAGAATCCAATAAGCTGATAAATTTCAGGGCTGTAATTGGCATAAGTTGCTCTGACCATCTTTAAGAATCTGGAAAATAAATGTATTATCCAGAGATTAGAATAAAAATAAGGAAGTTTCTGTCCATGGAATGTCAGCAGCTTAAAGGCCCAGGGGCTGGGAACTTATGGTAGCTGACACTTTAAATGAGAGAAAGAGACTACTCTTTCTCTCATTGAAAGTCTACTCTTTTCTCTCAAGGAAAGTCTACTCTTCCAGCCATTACCATAGTAGGGTGATGCAGAAAAGGGAAATTTGTACATTAGTACAATGGAGCATTTTTAAAATAACTCTTTGGAAAATGAGAGTGTACAGGGAACTATTCTATTAAAAGAGCCTTAGGAGACATGAAAAATCTATATGTACTAAATGATCTTTGATTGTTTCCATTGTTCAAATAATATATATTAAAGAAAATTTGAAGTCAGGAAAATTTGAGTAAGGGTTACTCAAAAGCTACTATGAATTACTGTTAATTTTAATAACTTCTATGTACTATGATTACGTAGAAGAATGCCCTTGACAGGTTGAGGTCATACTGTCCTCAAATAAGCCACTCAAGCATAGGATTATTTTGAGCTGAAAGTAACTGAGCAGAAAGACAAGAGAACTCTGTCTGCTTTCCTTCTACAAGAAGAGTCATGATGATTCTTAATAACTGGAGACCAGAGAAATCTACATAACAAACCTTACTAAAATGATCTTGAACTTTTATTAGTTTCCCTATATATTTACCTTCTTATAATTTGTCACCTGTGAAAGTCCCTTTCCTTTGTTATTTTTTTCATTACCCACTCTTAATGGACTTATTTTTTCTCTTGTTAATCTGTCTTTTGGCTAGTTTGTAGGACCCAGCCAATGAACCTGAGATAGACAGAGGAAAAACGAATTTTTCTCTCTAATACCATTGTGTTTTAAAGTTACATGCTGAAGTACTCAAGAATACATCACCACAGAGTGTATAATTTACTTTGTAATGTTTTTCTAATGCCAATATAAACACAGAAGCAGTAATACATATACGGCAAAAGGTCATTGTTGAGTCTATGCTGTAGAGTGCTTATTTTATTATTCTTTCCTTTTCTGTGTTTTTAAAATTTTCATAATGAAAAGTTTTTAACTAACTTTAAAGAACACTTATTTTTCTAAGATATGAAGTGAGTGCTTCAAACTAGAAATAAAAGTATTTTAAAATATGTAATTTAAACCCCGCAGCCAATGACTAATAAAACTCTATAGATGTATTTACATATGTGTAATATATATATATATATATATATGCCTTTTCTTTTTGTTTTATGCATTATAGAGCATTAAAATCAGAAATGTCTTTTAAAACATTAGTATGTTAACATTTTGAAATGTCATGGTAATTACCTTGATCTATACAGATGAATTATAACCCACACATCTTTTTCTGCATTTGTGACTTCATTCACATACTGATTTCCAGAAATTTCTCTCAATTCTCCAAATTTTTGTTTTTTCTTAAGTGCTTTCCATTCCTGTAATCTCTTTTCTCTAATTAAAAAGTAAAATTGTTACTTAAGAAAATTTTCTCTCATTGCCAGTGAAGCGGAAGACCCAATACTATTATGGACTACTGAACTCTTTTAGAATATTTTGCTGATTTTACACACCTATAGTATTTAAATGATGGAACTTAACAAAAAAAGGGGATACAGATGAATGTCCATTTTGTATCTGTGTATTCAAAGTGGTTAGGATAGATATATA